GGATACTGACTTGTTTTCCACTTGGTGTTTATGTCAATGATTCTGTGGTCATATGTTGATATTCCAGTAAATATTTACTTAGCTTTCCCTCTCTTGATGTCCTCTAGCTCTGCTGGCGAGGGACCATGGGAGTTGAAGTTCAAACCACTGGAATGTACCCGAATATAAAAGATTGACTTATACTAAGAGGATAAGCCCACAAAATCAGTCATAACTGCATCCCAATTAAAACAATGGAATGAAATGATACAGTGTTTTCTTAGGCATGTATATTTGGAATGTTCAGTTTTTCTATATATATATAATAAGGACTTTGTACCAGTGGTGGGATTCAGCCAGTTCGCACCTATCCGGGAGAACCGGTTGTTAACTTTCTAAGCAGTTCGGAGAACNGACCTTGAGTTGGCTACGCCCACCCAGTCACATGACCACCGAGCCCCACCTACTCAGATGGTCATTAGGGCAGAGAACCGATTGTTAAATTATTTGAATCCCACCACTGCGCCATAAGTACTGTTACTCTGGGCCAGCTGCAGCCTCTGGCTTGGTGGGCTTCAAGGACATTCCCCATGTACAGAAGTCCAAGGAAAAATATTAAGAGTAAGCCTACTTTACCAATAGCAATAGCACTTGAACTTATACAGGTAGTCCTCATCGTATGGCCACAATTAAGCCCAAAATTTCTGTGGTTAAGTTAGACATTTGTTAAGTAAGTTTTGCCCCATTTTATGACCTTTCTTGCCACAATGGTTAAGTGACTCACTGCGGTTGTTAAGGTGCTAACCTGGTTGTTAAGTGAACCTGGTTATCCCATTGACTTTGCTTGTCAGAAGGTCACAAAAAAGTGTACATCACTAAAAACAGCAATACAATTTAACAAAGTCAACCGTTAGACGTTCAGACTGCTGAAGGTTCATTTGCAACGAGGCACAGCATTTCATATGTTAGTTTGCTGAAAATCCTCCAAGTCCTTGGAGCTGGAATTATATCTATAAATACTTTGAGGGTGACATTTTACAACTTCAAAAAGAAAGCCAGGAATATTTGGCCCACTTAAAAGCATGGCCAGCCTGAATATTGAAAGTGTGTCTGTGTGTAAGAGTGAGCCAGTGGGCAAGAAGCATGTGCCTATAAATAAATATTTGTTAATCAGGGAGCATCTCACTGACGAGCTATAACCATGTTTATTCCTAATGGCTAGAATATCTGCAAAAGAGGACCCGTTTGTGCCAACTCTGCCCAACGATGGGCTGTCAGAGGCCTCTAAACCAATTGTCAGGCCTGCAGCCATCTTTTCTTTTGGATCTTTGGCCTGCCACCCTTTCTATTATTCTGCTATGCATTTTCTATTGTGGGAAAATGGGGGGGGGGATAGTAAGGAGTTGCATACTATGTAGCCATAACAACATTATTTCTAGAAAGCCAAGTCATCCTTTGTCTTTGTACCTCTGCACTTGACTGGAACTGGACGGGTGGAACTGCCACAGAGGTGGGTTCCTACCAGTTTGCACCTATTCGGTAGAACCGGTTCGTCAAATCTACCGAACCGGTTAGAAGAGGTTCCACCAGTGGACCCGGAAAACAGGCCACACCTACAAAAGAGGTTCCAAAATTTTTTGAAACCCACCACTGACACACACAGAGAGAGAGAGAGCTGGATAAAAGTATATAGTCCGGCTTCACTGATTACAAGTTTAAAAAGGCAACATGGCTCCACCTGCAATCAAAGGCTCGGATTGGAAGGCAGCAGGAGAATGGGGTATGGCAGAGGAGCTGAGGGAGGGAGAAGAAAAAGAAGGAAGGAAAACTTTTTTGCAAAGGAGAAAAACAA